GGTCTTTTTTACTTTTCTGCCATATTTAGTTTTTCAGCAAAGAAACAGAACGTACTAAAACTCACCCCACAATCTCAGCTTGTTTGCAGGGGGAAGACAGAAAACTAACCTGTTTGGTCGGTTTTATATAAAACCCAATTGGCTTTGAAAACCATGTTAAAATGATTTTTGGAATCATGGCCTGACAGAACTGTAAAACATGCACACCCCCACTGTGCTTGGTGGCCTGTATGTCTTATCCTACTGATTCAATCCCCAGAAATCTGATTGGCAAACATCACCTTGAGGCCACAGAGGCTCTGCTGGTATCTCTGATAGCGGCATGTTTCTCCCCTCTGTTTCCTCCCCAACATCCTTCTCTGCTCATCGACAGCACACTCGCAAGAACAAACAACAGATTAGATACCAGCAAAAAAGAAAAAAAGCTGCCTGCTGCTGGCCCACATGGAAGTGGCCCAGATCTGGTGGTGAAGGGAGGGAGCTGTCGAAGCCTGCTGCCGGGCCGTGGGCCAAGGTTTGATCCCCAGTTGACTGGCGTCCTTCCAGCCCAGAGGAACGAGCGTTCTGCAGCAGAGCAAAGCGTGGGGCTCGCTCGCACCCCCCCACCATCACCACCATTCCCCCGAGGATGATAGATGCTCTGTCCGCTCCCTACAGCAGGGAGAATGCATTAGACATCTGTATAATTGACTGAGGATGAGAGAAAAGAGGGGGGAAAAGAGAGAGAAGAAGAAGAAGGAGAAGGACAGATTGTGTGGGTGTGTGTTTGCACTTCATGGGGCATAGAGTGTGTGTTTAAGTTGCTTCGTCGGCTTGTAAAAAAAAGTAAATGAGAGATATAAGAGAGAGGGAAAGTGAGAGGAGGAAGAGAGGTAGGGAGCTGGCACAGAGGACGCTGGCTCTCACTCAACAGGACATCCTTTCACACACATTACACATGTCCTCTCCAATCCTCTCACAGAACCAGCACTGGAGCCACTCGAAAACATGATGGTGATTTACCAAGTTGCCTACACTTCTCACTCACAAAACTACCAGCATTTCATGGTGGTGTGGCACAGCCTGGCAAAATACTATTAATGTGATCCAAAGTCTCTCAGCACCAGAATTATTCCAAGGGTTTAACATTAGGGCTTACCCTCACAATAGGGCAAGGGTTGGCAAATGATCGAAGGGGGTAATCTCGTTGGGAAGAAAAGACCAGCATTTCTGAACAGCGACAAGAAAGATTTTCCCATCCTTTTGTCTGGTTTATAAGCACATCCAAAGAGATGAGTAAAAGGGGGCAAACAAAACCAAATCTGTTCAGGCAAAGTGTGTTAGTTTAAACAATCAATGTGCGAAACACCAACGAAAGCAACTTGGTAAATCCCCATCACGTCTGAAATTATACCAAATGGCCCCATTTAAAGAACACGCTCCTAAGTGCTGGCTAGTGTCCACATATCAAATCGACACAACAAAAGCGAGATGGAAAGCTGGTGCAGACACCATTTTCTAGGGAAAATAACACAATTATAAGAGTACACAGACTTCTTCATTATTAATGTAGTTGCTTTTCAAATGCCTCTCTGAAAAGACCTCTTAATAATTTATCACCATGGAGACGCATGTCAAGTCAGTGTGCTTGGACACTTCATGAATATCAAATAAATATGCAAAACAAAAGAGGTATACATCATTAAGCACACTTTACTGAGGTTTGTTACAAATCCTTGATTGTTCTCTGCTCAATGACATCAATCAAAATCCTCCAATTTGATCTTGCCTCGGATGGAAATTCTTGATGAAACACTTCAGAAGCCACTATACCACAATGACTGTGCCACTTGGTGTATAATGATCAGTTTGAGACGAACGGGTGGAGAGGGAGTAACGTAGCTGTTAGATTATGCTTTAATGATGATCCTCGATCAGTTATTAACGAGACAACGTTTCTCATTAGTTAATTGAATAACTTACAAAATGGAGTCGCATGCTCCTCATGACTTTGGATTTATTCAAAGCATTAGAAGATGATGAACTCGAGATGAGGGGGCTGAATGATACTCGTCTTTATCACTGCTATCAGCCTGATGAGACATATAGGAAGAAATGGGAATTGGACAGGGAAGATCCCGGAGTGACAGTTATAGTCATTAACTTGGGAGCAACGGTTATGTGTGAATACATGTGCCATACAGTCGGTTATTCATTATTAAATAGTGCTGTAGTTTAAAAGGTCTCACGAAGATTAGATTGCAATTATTGTTTTAAACGTAGCAGTATTACGATGCCCATGTTGGCAGTTGCAAATGCTCAAGGTAACCTTATACATTTATTTAGTTTAATATAATACTACCATTATACAGATTGTGTTCTGTAGCACCAATGTTCAACTATCAATGTTCATTGAGATTTATATTGCTCTACATGAGATACAACAAACAAATGGAAAAAAACACCATGTCCTGTGCATATGTGCTGCCTGAGGTGTGAAACCCACTGAGAAGAATCACCCGACTCTTGCATCTTTCAGCTTTTATGGCCGACAGATTCACAATTTTGATTCAGCATCATTCCTCTCAGGTTCAAACTCATTTCCAGACACAGCAGGCAGCTGTTTTCAACACAAAAAGCTCTGATAAACAGTATTTGCTACCTGACCAGCATCAAATATCAGACAAAGTGAGTGACCAGCTAGTGGAAATAGCACAAAATAGAACCAACAAGGAGTGTGTGTGTGTGTGTGTGTGTGTGTGTGTGTGTGTGTGTGTGTGTGTGTGTGTGTGTGTGTGTGTGTGTGTGTGTGTGTGTGTGTGTGTGTGTGCGTGTGTGCGTGTGTGTTAATAGAGGACTTATACTGTAGAACTGAGCCTGAAACAGGGACTACAAATGCCACAAATGCTCCATGTTTGCCAACCTTTTTGGTATTATATGTTCATGTTGAGACTTTTTTAATGACACACTTTGTAACTACTTCAGAAAATAACCGTCTGTATCAATTTTAAGGAAATCTAATATGTTTGACATCAAAAGTTTGAATGCTGTTAATAAGTAGGTTTTATGCAGGTTCGGTAGTCTGACAGCATGTTGCGTAGCAGCTAGCTGTCAGGTTGTCTTTTCGCTGAATGCCATGCAAAATGACTGACTCTCCCCGAAGACCGCTATCACTCATTCGGTTTGCTGCTTGATTTGGTTCTTACAGTTGTGCATAACACGCCACACATAACTGTCTCATCTTCTTTTACTCCCTCTCACAGTCTCCGTCTCTCTCTTCCTCCTTCTCACCCACTCTGTAATGACAATGGCAGTAAGTTGTACATCGCGATGCTGCCCTGACTTTCATTAATGCGCGTTTTAACAAAGGAACCGAGGCTCTCGAGTTTCAAAACAAATCTATTTTCATTTCCTCTCCATTTGGGTAAAAACACTTCATCCGTGGCCTGAATGCAGTGATTGAGAGGATAGAATTCGAACATAACATGCAGTGTTGTGCATGCATTTCCATGTGTATCCGTTTATTCTCCGTAGATTCATGTTTATAGATGCACAACACATCCTGTTAGCTTAGTCGGGTCAGAGTTGAGGGTTACTGTATGTGTATGTGTTTGCCTGCATAAGTGTGTCTGTGCATGTTTATCAGGAAACTGGTGATGTGGGCCTATTTCGGAGGCCTTGAAGCAAGCAGGTGAGAGTCGTGCTGGGTGTTCTCTCAGTTACGTGCTAATGGAGTTCAATCCAGATCTCTCTTTGACCCATAGTACCCTGTTCATTATGAGCTTGCAAATTCTGGCTCTGCACTGTGTGTGTTTGACAGGGATAGAGAAATACTGTATATAATGTTTTAAAAATGTCTCCCTGAGGGCCTTTATTAAAATGCTGGTCAGTAAGTGCAGACTAAAGACGTGGTTAGGAAACGCGAACCGAAAACATCTTATTTTTTCCAATAGACACAGAATAAATGAAAAGTAACCAATGACATTGAAAACCAGAACAAAACGCATTACATTTTCTCAAAGTAAAAAAAAACGAAATAAATGTTAAAAACGTACAAATAGATAAATGAACTCTTTGCAAATAACAACAATTAAATGTATCTAAAACCCACTGAGAGGATGGACAACCAACAGCTGGTAAAAAGCTATGAAAATATGCATGCCAGCACAGCATTTAAAAAAGTTGAGATAACGTAACATTACAAGTAGATAGATGTTTGTCACTCTGCAAACATTTGTGTTGCTATCGTGAGGAATGTGTACGTTTCAGTTTACAATACCTTTTTCACTAACTTAGACTCAGACGACACCTGTATGGTAACTGTACAAAACAAGGATGGTGAAAGCTGATTTCATCATAAAAAAGGAGATTAACATTTTATAGACTAAAATGTGTCTCACAGTAATTCATTTCATTAATAGTAATAGTTTGATCCATGTCAATTAAATAAATACTTAAATGGGATTATTGCATATGGGAATATAATCTTAGAAGGCTTCTATCAGTGCATCTTGACTAAAAGTCAGAGTGCTGAGGTAGAAAACGTTTGCCTTCTTTACTATGAATGAAAAGGACATTATCAGTAATCCCACATCAGCACTTCCCCTATGAAACTCAATACTCCACTTGATGAATGTCTGTCATTGTCTTCTCATGTAAGTGTGCCACATGGGCTCACCTCCATTGGAAAGTAGTGGGATGGCTCGCCTGCTCTTTTCACAAACCATGAGATAAAGAATCAGTGCCTCAGAAAAGCCTGTTCAGCACAAACATGGTGGAACAGGAGAACCTCGTCTCCAAACTACTCGTCCAAAGTGGGATTTTCATCATCTGGGAGGTAAGAACACAGACAGTATACATGGAGTGTGAAAAATGCCCCATATGGGCTGGTGTGACCACTGTTGTAGTAGCTGAAATAAACACCTCACTTTGTTCATGGCGCCACAGGACCACTCCTTCAATTTCTCCCCTTACTTCTCCCTTTGCCCTTTTCACTTCCCTCCCTTTCTTCCTCTCTTCGGTTACTGTTCACACATAAACAGAGCAGCCACTTCATACATCATCTGCCACTGTGGAACCCAGAGGTGCTCGGCTCCTGGAGTTGAATCAAAGAGGTACTGCTTCCCCTAGAAGACGCAGAAATGGATCACTATATGAATGTCCTGTCTTCTGGACTGATCCCATGATCTACAGCCTTACTGGGTCTCTTCAACATACAGTACAGAGAAACTCGGTGCACCTTGCGAGGAAGAAGAAGAATTTACAGTGCTATGATCTCACCATTTCTCACCTTCTCCCTCACTTATTCTTTCAGTAGGTCCATGGTGAAGTGGGTGTATTGATCTATTTGCCTACTCTTTCCCCCGTTCCATTTCTTTCTGGTCTCCCTCTCAGTCCATTGCATCTTCTCTCTAACACACACTCATCACACACATCCTATTTCCCATAACAGATGTAGCATTTCATCAGATGAAGACCAAGGCCAAGCTTTGAGCTTTCAGTGCTACATGGGATCCATTTAATTTGCAGCAACATGAAGGGAAATGAGGCCAGATCTGCGAGGCTCAAATCAGTCTAGCAGCCAGGTCATAATGAGCAGCGGCTAATCAACCTCATTCGTTTACTCAAAGATGAGAAAAGCATCACATGCACAGCGAAATGTCTCTACAGTGCCATCCACTATTATATACACAGCAGTGCTCACTATTCTCAATTTTCACAAATAGCATCCCATGATAAATATACGACTATCTGCCACATGTATGTTTACGAGTGTGACTAAAGAGTATGCTAAAGCATGGTGGCCCCTGATGAAATTAACCTAACTTAGATGGATAACGCAATGCAGCCTCATTTTAACACAGTGAATAAGCTACATCTTCTTTATCCTGGGTGATAATCTATCACCTTACAATTACTGTATGTATGTCCTGGTTCTAATAATATGTCAGCATGTAAATGCATTTCCAGGAACTGAAGCAGAACAAATGCAAAGACGCACAAATTGTTTTCCTCCTAGTTAATGGGTATATATTTCCTATAAGACATAGAAAACAGGCCTCTGTTCTTTATAATGTGCTGAACAAAAGCAACACACAGATTGTATTTATCACCAGCTGTGGGGAACACTATAAAATGCACCTTGTTCGTACACGTCTGTAGCCTAGCTCTTATAAAGGAGAAGAAAAGTGCACATGGAACTTTTTAACCATACGCAGCTCATTTGCTATTCTTGACATGAAATAGAGTTGGCCTCTCTGAGGGATTGGGGGTCTGTTTTTGCTGATTCCACTCTGGTGGTGAGGGAGTGAAAGGTGGGCTGGAGGGGTGGGCTGGCGCTGGTGCGGGAGCGAGAGAGAGCCAGAGGTCCAGGGCGTGTCGAGCCGTCAGTCACTGTTGGATGTTAATGTACTGAATAACAATCTAAACCGATCTGTCATTAACATCTGTAACCAGCACGCCGTGCTGAATGACTAACGACTTGAACACATAAATTGGAGGAGAAAGGCAAACAGCCCATGGAAACTTACAGTGATCACGAATAACAAAGCGTGTGCTTTTAGGTTCCCTGGGATTTCAGATGGCGGGCATAGATACAGTAGAAGCACGCTGTGGCAAGTTCCAGTGCCTTGGTTTCCTCCAGAGAATCAAAGACTTTGGAATTAAAAAATGCCTCACATACGCTGGAAACACTCTATGAAAGGTTTATGAGATGCAATCCCTGAAGGGCCTTAAACAATGACAAACTCATCCTACTCAACTACTGGATATTCTTTAGTTTGGGAGGAAAAGTAACCGCACCACAGTGAGGCAACAACAGCTCTCTTTGTTTCTCTATTCCCCTTTTCTCTTCTATTTTTCACTCTTATCCCTTTTGTTTTTCTCTCTCGCTGCACCAGCTTGAGAAAAAAAAGCAAGCATTATTCGAAACCACACCAACTGAACAGAGATTACACATACGGCAGCTTGAAGTGACTGATACAAAAAAGTGATAAATTGATTCACAGATATGGCTGAATGAGTGAAGTGACACCACATTCCTCCAGAGCTTTGTGCGTTACTATGTGTGTGTGTGTGTGTGTGTGTGTGTGTGTGTGTGTGTGTGTGTGTGTGTGTGTGTGTGTGTGTGTGTGTGTGTGTTTAATTCCATCTCCAGCATGGCAGCACAATCCTTTTTTTTTTTGTCTCGCATTGGGCAGCAGCTCTACCTCCTGAGACACCGTCCCTCTGGAAGCCCATCAACACAACATGGTCAGCAGAGCAGAATGTGTGTGTGCGAGGGAGAGCGCGTGCCTGTGTGTGCTGAACAAGCACACAGCTCCACTCTACACCTCTCCGCTCAGTATTGCACTGCAGTTTCATCATCCAAAGCCCAGGTTTGATAGGCAGTTCCTCTTATTAGAAAACCTGGAGGGGGCGAGCCGGTGTTAAAATGAAACCCTCTTTATCAAATTGTGATGAAGTGCCTGAAGTGAACACAAGGTTAACTAAATTGCATATCCCTTCTGTTGAACTCTTTACACTCCAGTATCACCTCGGCACACAGAAGTTTAAGACACAGGAGTTTTGTAAGTACAAACGAGATGAGAGAGGTTTTTCTCTGCCTTAAATCACTGTGAAATGTGTCTCACTTGTTAGAATTGCAGCTTGGTTCTAGCCGGGGGCTGAGATGAGCCGTCTGAGGTATTTCTGGGTCTCCAGCATCACACCAGAGCCGCTGTGTGCTCTCTCCAGCACACCTTGACAGTGACTTTGTGTGACAGCAGATATAATGTGATTTCTCTTGTCCCCGGGGTCTGAGGCTGATGATGGAGACTGCTGGGCTCTGCTTTGCTCGCCGGCGACAGCCATGACAGAAAGAAAAAAAAGCTTGAGCATGATGATCAGTGGCATTTTTCACACGGCTTGGAGATCCCTCAGTCTGTGCCCTCTTGCCCATGCTTCACTGACAGAGAAATTAGGTCCCTGTGTTCAGCCTGAAATTTCCTCGGCCTGGGTTTGTCTCAGTTTGGGGACAATCACATCAGCTCACTTGACACTCTGTCGTGTGATTTCAGCATCTTCTTTTTTTTTTTTTAAAACCAAAACAAATAATATACAGCATTCAGTACATTTTGATTTGTTTTTTCAATATTGTCATGATTTCACAGCAATTGAAGGACGGGGATACGTAGGGACGTCACTTCTACTGTAAGTGTGTCAAATCAGGTGAAGCTGCGGTGTGTCATACCTGCAGGCTGTACAGGCCTCTGCTGTCTCTGCAGCTTATGGGCAAAAACAAAGCTAACCATTTCTGTCATGCGTGTTTTATCTGGGTGTTCAAAACATAAGCATATCTGTCTGAGGTTTAAGTATGGAGCCAAGTGAGTGTAATTGCACCTAGTGTTGAAACTACTGGTTAATAATCCATTAGTCAATCAACAGATTTTTTTTGATAACTGATTAATGGTGCAAGACATTTTAATGTTTTATCAAGCAACAAATTAAAATACTAGGCTGGTTCTAGTTTCTTTGTTGTGAGAAGAGAATTTCCTGTTTTATTATAACTTATGCCATGAATAATTAAAAAACTTTGCATTTTTGGTTGTTGGTCAGACAAAAGATGCAATGTAAAGGAGTCAACTATGGATGGATGTATGGATATGGTATATTGTGATTCGTTTTCTCACTACTTTCTTACATTTTTCATACAAACTTTTACATCATACAAGGTACAAGGTTCAAGGCTTTTATTGGGCATGCGTACATAGCTATCGTGTAGTTATGACGATGACAATCTTAGGTCCCAGGCTCTTACAACAGTGCAACACAATAAAACAGAAAAAGCAGAAAAATAGTGCAAGTAAATACAAAAAGAAAAATAGTAAAAAGTGGAATAGTGCAATAAGAGTCTATATGCAAGTGATTGAATATGATATATTAGATAAATAATTTCTAAATTGCAGCCAGATTGTGTACTTTTATTAGAGATTTGTCACTTTTCTGTGTTGTTTTTAGAATGTGTGTCAGGAATGGATCCCATGTGTTTTTATCTACAAACTAAATCTACCTACGGGTTTTAATAAATAACCTGAAACTGATTGAATCTGATACAAAAACAAAAAAGTTGAATTGAGTTTGAAAATGTAAAATAATATTTAGTAGACAAAATACACAAATTGCTCAAATTTCCACTGGGTTTTACCAAAAACAGTTTGAAAGGAATAATCCATAACACAACTTTTTGACAAGAAAGATCCCACCCACATGTCTGTAAGGTAAAACTGTCAGCAGTCGGTCAATGTAGCGAAAGGGCCAAAACATAGTCTAGCATAAAACGTTAACATACCCAAACAGATAACAGAAAAACGTTTCCTTGTTTGCCCCTGCTCTTCTCTCTCCACCCTATGCCCACACTGACACAACACATACCAGTCGCTCCAAAATAGACAGCCTGGATGTCTCCCACCCTAACAATCCCCTGGGTAGTGTATGTATGCAGCTACAGTCATTGTTACAGGCTCCAGTCAACATTTAGAAGATCACACTCCATGGTTGATGAACACTGAATCCCAGCTTCCTTCCTCCCTTCCTTCCTTCCGGCGTTTTATTCCATCTAAATAATGCAGCCGCAAGGAGTCATTGGGGGGATCCATTATAGAGAGACTGATATAGAATGCTGGGATGCATGATCAGACACTCTTATCACTTTCACAGAGCATGTTATAGTGCAGCAGGGGGAACTTTGTATCGTCATGTCTCTCTGTAAGTGCTTAACCCTTTGGTTGATGCGATAGCGATATGCAATCTAAACAGTTAAGGATTACAGAACTCCCCCACCTACAATAGATCCAGATGATGTATGATGAGACTTGGGGCGTGTGCTCATGGAGTATGGTTAAAGGACATTTCAGGGTCTGGGCAAAATGTACTTTGTGTTGCAACAGCTAGTGCGAGGTGAGCAACTGTTGTTGTCATGGCTAGGGAAAGAAGGTGAGAAACCAGCCACACCGAGGACATACAAAAAAGAAAACATCCATAGCAGCTTCCGAGGGCATTGGTGAGATAATGTCATACGATTGGTATGTTACAAAAAGGTTAGATGAAAAAACTAGGAACTAAATAAGATGGCTAGATCCACAAAAAA